TGTCGTACACGAGTTTGTAACCGGTGTTGTCAAATACCGTACGGACACCTTTTGACGCGAGCTTTCCAATCGAAATCATATTTCCCTCTAGAGTGGGGACATACAGCACACCCCGCAGTGTGAGTTCGACTGTCTCTCCACTGTCACCCGCGCACTTAATCAAGCAATCGCCGATGCCTTCTACGCGATTTCACTGTTATCCGCGACGATGACACTCGAACGCGAACCGTGTTCCATTTCAGTGAACGCACTTTTGTGGCTACACATGTGCGAGGTGGCACCTGAGTCGATCAACCAGAAATTTGCAATGTTACGACTTTTATGCAAACGAACCATGAACGTGAACGATCTCGTGTCGTTTTCGCGCACTTGTTTAACTTTTTCTTCCTGCTTCAACTTATGCTTCTTTTTCTTCTTATCGTTGTTTTCCCCGGTGTTCCAGGAACTCCTTGAAGTCACGCCTCTTAAGTCCGGCTTGACCGCAAAAGAACCTGCCCGTTTTGCTTCGTTATTCGCCTTCAGCACACGCTCTTCCTAAACTTTCCCGCCGTACAGCTTTTCACTTTAATCGACGAGCTTTGCTTGCACAAGCTCCATTGACAGCTCCTGATCGGAATGGCTCTCCAATGCGGTGGTAAGAGCATCGAATGCCTTCGGAAGGCTCCGCAAAATCATGGCCACTTGCATGTACGCGGACATCTTCTCGCTCGAATTCTTCAGCATTGAGTTGTTCGATGAAAGAAGAGCCATAGAGAATTCCAGCATTGTGAATAGTCTATCCAGAGAGCTGCCGCTCGGAGACGCTTCTCGAAGAATGTGTTGTGCTGGAACTGAGTCCGGACAGACCTTTTTAGCGAAATCGAATATCCATCGGTTGGAGTATTCTTCACTCTCATTAGAAGATGAGCGGTTACGCATGTTGCGAGCCACCCTCCACAAGGTGTTCATTGAGGTTTCTCGTGAGAGTCCCTCGATGAAATTGCGCTAATAACCGCGTTTTTTCGCTTTGATTAATTGTTTCAGCTTTGCCTCAAGCTTTGAATATTTCTCGAAGTATGTGGAGGTTTTGTGTTTACGAAAAGCTTTGAAAACATCAAATTTTTCTACATACAATTTGAACCCGCCAACACTTCTAGACTCATCGTATGAGTCGAGTGCATGCATCCTAACGCGATACGAAGACAACGATACTGGATACGTTCCAGTTTCATGATATGTGTTTTAGCCGCCGACTGGAAGGAAAAATTACCATACTCTAAAACCGATCAAATCGTTGTCCGGTAAAACGTTAGAAGATCTTTCTTTCAACTCAGTTTTCTCCGAGGAGAATTCGATACCTAGCTGGACAGCCCCGTAGACTAGCCATGAAAGTTATCTGGCGGGATTTGCAAAAACAAATTAAAAAGCGATTCTCTGCCCTGAGGAACAAAAATTTTGAAAGTAATATTTCTAAATTAGACCCGAGTTCCAAACCCTTTTGGAAACTCACAAAAAAAAATTGAAAAACCTCAAAAGCCAATTCCAGCGCTTAAAGAAGATGGTAAAATTTTGATCACAAGTTCGGAAAAAGCTCAGAAACTTGCTAAGCAATTCGAGAGTTCCCATAATTTCAGTTTGGGTCTTACTAGTCCTATCGAAAATCAGGTTGCTCGGGATTATCTGAATATTTTCTCTCGGAAAAATAATTTTGATGATTCCTGGGGGACTGATTTGGACGAAACAAGATCTATAACTAAAAAGTTTCAAAATATGAAAGCTCCAGGTGATGATGGTATTTTCTATATCCTCATCAAAAAACTCCCAGAGAATACCTTGTCTTAGCAAAATTATTTAACAGATGTTTCCATTGGCAGCCCTACTTTTGCTCAATAAAACAGATGAAATTATCCTTAATAAGTAAAAAAAATCTCCTGAAAATAGATCGGGTTGCTCCTTAAATGATTGATCAAAATACGTTAAAAATCTTAAAATGCTCAGTAAATATTTAAAGTACGCTCCCTAAAATAGAGAAAACTGTACATTAAGCGTTTGAAAATGCTCCTTAGTATGCACCGCTTTGCACCATTTTGAAGTGTAATTGTACCATATATCATCGGAAAAGCTGCTGTAGAAAGGTTAATAAGTACCATGAAATCAGCTAAAATGTTCAGTAAAAATGCACAAATGCACACAATGATTTTGCTGGATTTCATCATCTCTTAAGAGTTACCAATTTAATTCTTTCGAACAAATCTGAAAGGCTGCTCAACTGGAGTTGCTCTTCTAGACCTAGAAAAAAGCATTCGACAGTGTTTGGCATGAACGATTGATTGCTAAATTGAAAAAGTTTAATTTTCCATTCTATATTATGAAATTAGTTCAAAATTATTTAACTGACAGAACTCTGCAGTTAAAGTTCCTCAGGGTAGCATTCTTGAGCTTATATTGTATAACATTTTCACTTCTAACATCCCTGATTTGCCTCAGGGTTGCCACAAATCTTTGTTCGCTGATTACACAGGCATTTCCGCTAAAGGAAGAAGTCTTCGTGTTATTTGCAGCAGACTGCAGAAAAATTTAGATATTTTCTCTTTTTATCTACAAAAATGGAAAATTTCTCCCAACGCTTCCAAAACAACTTATAATATTTCCACATAAGCTTAGAGCTTCCTTTTTGAAATCTAGTAGTAGTCACATAGTCACTATGAACGGAGTTCCAATTTCCTGGTCAAATTAAGTGAAATATCTTGGACCAAAAATTAACTTTTAAAGATCCCATTGAGGGCATTCAAGCCAAATGTAACAAATATATAAATATACATATAGGAAATCCAAACTTTGCATGATAAACAAGTATTTAGACCGGCCATGCTTTACGCTGTGCCAATATGGTCTTGTTGTTGCACTACCAGGAAAAAAGCTTTTCAAAGGATTCAGAACAAAGTTCTGAAGATGATTTGAAGTTTCCTCCCTGGTACAGAAAAAATGTCCATAATTATTTAATAATTTCAGGCAAAAATCGTTGCAATCCTCAATTGCAACGATTAATTCCCTTTATATTTAGATAAGATTAAGTGTTAGTTTTAAGATGTAAAATGTTATACTGAAATGCAGGTTAAAAAAAAACCTGTTTAAAATACTGAATTGCCAAGACAGGAACAATGTAGCAACACTTAGATGATAAAGAGTTAAAAAAGTAACATAAAAGTTAAATGAATCTTCTACTTCTTTTTCGCATTTTGCGCTGCATATTAGCTTATTGCGTGCTCTCAACTTAGTGTGAGGGATGATGTAGCAAGTACAATCATACTCTATGCCCAGGAAAGTCGAGACATTTTCAAACCCGAAAAATTGCTAGACCGCACCGGGAATCAAACCCAGCCACCTCCTCCAGCATGGTCTTGCTTTGTAGCTGCGCTTTTACACACGGAGCTAAGGGAGGCGCCTTGAGTGCATGCCCGAGCAAAGTCTGAGATCAAATGGAAATCTAAATTTGATGTTGTGATTTCGCTGATAATGATTACACAGGTTGCTGTCGTTTTGGTCGTTTTAACGGTTAAAATATAAAAAATGAGAGCAAAAAATCTTATTGCCACATCACATTGAAAACTATTTCTGCTATCAGTGAGAGCAAACGGAAAACTCAATTTGATATCATTTTTTCCTGTTGATAACAAAACAAGTATTCAATTTGATGTTATGCTAAGGCAATGAAAACAAACCCGCAACAACATATTTTTGAAGAGCAAATGTACAGCAAAATAAAAACAAATTTTGGCATCAAATTTGTCAATTGCGAAACTGAAATCAAATTATGATTTCAGTTTGATGTTGATATCAAAACTTTATTTCAATTTGCTGTCATGTTGATGCTGCCCGAGCAAAGTCCAGCATCAAAATGACAGCAAATTGAAATCAAGATTTGATATCAACATCAAACTGAAATCATAATTTGATTTCAGTTTCGCAATTCACAAATTTGATACCAAATTTTGTTTTCATTTTGCTGTACATTTGCTCTTCAACAATATGTTGTTACGGGTTTGTTTTTATTGCCTTAGCATAACATCAAATTGAATACTTGTTTTGTTATCAACAGGAAAAATTGATATCAAATTTAGTTTTCAGTTTGCTCTCACTGATAGCAGAAATAGTTTTCTATGTGATGTCACAGGAAGATTTTTTTGCTCTCAATTTTGATATTTTAACCGTTAAAACGACCAAACGACAGCAACCTGAGCAATCATTATCAGCGAAATCACAACATCAAATTTAGATTTCAATTTGATCTCAAACTTTGCTCGGGTGGCCTTTGGTCGGGTGAATACTGCACGTATTGATAGTAGGTAGTGGTCAGAACGTAATATCGGAGAAGAATTTATCGTTGATTAGAAGGTGATCGAATTGGTGTTCAATGTGTTGGTCCAAGTGGCTTTGTGGACATCTTTGCATGGGAAGAAGGTACTTTGGATCACGTTTCCACGGGAGGCTGCGAAGTTCACGCATGGTTGGTCGTGATCGTTCGATACAGCATGTATGCTGTTCGGCCCGATAACCGATCTGTACATAGCCTCCCGTCCTACCTGTGCGTTCATTTCGCCGATGTCAATTTTCCCGTCCCGCTGAAGTAGAGCTTCTCGTATTTGATGAAACAGACTCTCAGTTTGTACATACTCACATTGAGTTGATGCCTCCCAATCACGCCTTGGCACATCATACCGTTGTGGGCTTGAAGCTCGTCGTAGGTTAACTTATCACAACCTGACTTGCAGTTCTTTGATCCGAGTTCACGATTGTAGTTTTTTTTTCGTCGCGTGGGACTTTGCCGATTGTTCCAATCCTTATTTACTTCTATGTTATTTGCAACTTTTATTTTCTGGGCGGATTCCGTTGCGCCTGCCCAAACCCCCTGTGCACTAGAACTGTGATAGCTGGCCTCTAACATGGACAACAGACGCTGTTTTGAACCATCAATTTTTCCTGCGTTGGCCAATAACGTTTTGTTTTCGATTCATTAACAGCAACAAAAATCATAGCGTAATATACGTGTACACCCCATATGATAGACCAAATGAGGTCAACTCTTCCACCAATCCAATTGGAGTTGATTTGCATTTAAATCCCAGTTGCCGTTATTCGTTAAGGTGAGGGTAATTAGGTGTATGTGTTCGTCAAGCTTACAGATTTATATTTTGTTTGCAGTTATTCACAGTCACTCAGTGTAATGATGGCAAGAATTGTTCAACAGTTTGGTCAATGGATGCCAGCGCACTGTGTAGCAATTTTGCTGCTAGCACTTAAACATCAAGTGTCTGTAACACCTGAAAATAAACGATTCAAATGTGGTAAACTACATACAGCATTGAGCAGGAGTACTCCATTTTTCATCGTAACAGGTAACGAATGGAAATAATTACTTTAATTTTATTCAAATTATATTATTGTAATAACAAAATTTAATACAAACAAACAAATTATAACACCCAACTCAAGTGGGACAAACAATGTAGTACACAATACCTATACAAACTATCATTACGATTTGAATGAATTTTGATAAAATTTGGTTTATTATAGTGTAAGGTATACAGCAAAAAATAAATTTTAATATTACATCCAAGAGCATGCACTTCAATCATGTCGAAATAATCTCATTTAATTTTTATGGCCACAAAAATAAACAAATGTAGTAAAAGCAGTGTAATGTCAGTTCATGCACTGTAATGATGATAATTTTGTCCTTTTTTGCTAGTAATATTACACAAGTGCATCCACTTTGATGTGATATTAAAATTAATTTTTTGCTGTGTATGGCAAAATGGGTCATCTACATGATTTTTTTTATTGTCAACATCAACAGACTCAATGTAGTTACAATGCTTATTTAAAAAAGCAAACCATCATAGGGATGCATTGAAACTGTTTATTTTGACAAATAAATAAATTAATAAATGTACTAGTTGACCTATCTTGCCACGTGATCCATCTTCCCCCATCTTACCCTACATTATATATAATCATCAAACTGATGTAAATTTTGGAACGTGTGCTTCTAAATAGGGTCTTGATCTTTCCGTCTCGCACGCTGAGCCGGTCAAGTCGCATCGGTCTCGTTGTACGACACTATTATTTGAGTTTTTGAGTTTTTCCCCACGCGAGGGTTTTTTCTCGCCAAAAATTTGTCAATTGCGTAAACCGAAATCAAATTATGATTTCAGTTTGATGTTGATATCAAAACTTGATTTCGATTTGCTGTCATTTTGATGCTGGACTTTGCCCGGGCATTGACTAAACTAAGGACAACCCTAATAAACAAATACCATAAACGAACTGTATCCCGGATGGGTAAACTATCCCACAAATGGTTTGGATGATACCCCGAACTAACTCTTTTATGGTTATTTTTTATTAGGGAAGGGATATACACTGGAGTCGCTTTTTACGCGGTTTTTTTTACGCGGTTTTTTTACACGGTTTTTTTTTACACGGTTAGTGCCGCTGAGTCGCAATTTACGCGGTACATTTTTAACAATTTTTCTCGACAACAATACGACCTATCGACTTGATTCCAATCACATTATCCGTTTCAAACTACAGTGGAAGTTCGCTAATTGGGGGTTTTCTGGTTGGGGCGCTTTTTAATTGGGGGTTCGCTAATTGGGGCGCGACCCAATTAAAAAGCAGTCATCCGTCAAAATCATGCTGACGTTTTGATGTCATATTTTTTGGGGGGTCTTTCAATGATTGATAAAAAATAACGAAAAACAAAATATTTTTTGTAAAAAATCAATTTAATTCATAAAACAAGCAGCTGCTCACAGCATCAGTTAAGCAGACGAAAGACTGAAAACCAAAACAAACGAGTCAAGCGCCCCCCGGTCAACTTTGACACTTGTCGACACCCCCAATTAGCGAATGCCATTCGATAATTGGGGTGCAGTCGTGCCCCAATTAGCGAACGGCTACTGTATAGGTAATCGAATGGCATACTTTTAAAAAAATCACAATTTTTGTGTAAATACAGAAATTTTTAAAATATGTCTATATGGACCATAGCATGCTATAATAACGAATGGCATCAAAATCCGATTTATAAAAATATTTAAGCATGTGAAAAATCAAAATCTCTTTAGTTTTTTTACGCGGCACGTATCCCCCGCGTAAAAAGCGACTCCAGTGTACTACCATATTATATCAAATTACTGGTCGCAGTGGTGTTTGGCCCCGAACAGAGGAAAAAAATGGAAAAGGCAGGAACGGATCATATTGTTAATATGATATATTTGGTTATATAATACACACACTGTCCACTATATATTTTATAGATGTTATTAACATTCTGTTATTTTTCAGCATCTCGAGTGTTCATCAAGCTTGTCTTGATGTTCAAAGTTTTGCCGCAACCAGAACAATTTGATTATCCCATATTGATATCCGTTATTGTTCACGGAGCATCTTTAGCCATTCTGTTGATATCAACGGCATTACTGTGGGCAGCTATTGTCTTTTGTGGAAACTTTGTACATAAAATCTTGCTCAAGTATGTAATATTCAAATATTAGCCCGTAAGATGTTCCTTTATTATCACTGTTTGCAGGATTGTTTGCCTACCTATACCGGCTTTGTCGTCGATGATTGTGTCATGTATCCACAAATTCCCTATTGTAATTGGTGGCATTTTAATGTCTGTTGCTCTAGCATCATGCGGCAGCGTTGCTTTAATTTGTGCATGCGTCGTCTACTTTGTAATTGTAAGTATCATAAATTAAAAGATAAAAATCGGACATAACTGTTGTACATGTATCTTTATCTACTGGGTACAGATAATTCCATTCAGTTTATGTAACTTAACAGTTTTTATCACCATTATTATTTCATTGACAGCTTACAAAAATGTATGAAAGCTACTTAGAACATTTTGTTCTAAAAACGGCGAAATTAATCGCACGAAAGCTGTTTGGAATAAATATTCGCTGTAAAGGAGAAAACCAAGAACAACCCACTAGGAATGAAGGTATACAGAATAAGTAAAAAATCAGTAAAAACATATTCTAATTTATAGCGGCGCAGGTGGTGTAGTGGTAAGCGTGATACCTCTCACCAGGGATGGAAAATCATTTGCATTCATTTCGTGCATTCATTTACATTCATTTGCCTTTAACTTTTTTTTTTTCAACAGCGTTCTGGAAAATGATGTATAGAGCTTTTATAGGTTTTGTTATTAGCTACAACTTTTGTTAACAAGTCAAATCCGTATCTCTTATGCATGACGAACCAAAGCGAACAGAAGCCACTACTGTTTTTCAGTGAATGTATTTTACATTCATTGAAAAACAGTAACAAGTTCTGCCTGCTCTAGTTCGTGATGCATAAGAGATACAGATTTGAGTTATGAACAAAAGTTGTAGCTAATAACAAAACCTACAAAAGCTCTTTGCATCATTTTGCGGAATGCTGTTGATGAGAAAAGTTAGAGGCAAATGAATGTAAATGAATGTATGAAATGAATGCAAATGATTTTCCATGCCTGCCTCTCACCCCAGCAGGCCTGGGTTCAATCCCAGTCGGCGCCGCCGAGATGTTCTGAGGCATAACATCTCTGATCACGAGGGAAGTTAAGCCGTTGGTCCCCGGTTCATGAGTTGATGAGTCGATAGGTAGGGTCCAGGTATGGTAGCGCCTCCCTGGCGTTGGTAGCATTGGTGCTCAGCACGGAAAACAAGATCGACGGAAAACAAACCAAAGAAAAAAAATATTCTAATTTTAATAAAAAAAAATATCATTTTCAGACGAAACTAGCGTTTCTTCACCTAATAATCAACCTGGAGTACACGAAGTTCCTCGGCATGAATATGACAATGTGCATGCAGGTCTAGTCAACATAAATTTTCACTTGCCATTGTTCTTGCTTTTAATTGTGGTATCTTTACTGAATTTTCCGAGTTTTCTGACGTGGGCTAAACAGTATAAGTATGTATATTGAAAACGTAGTAAGATTATCTTTCTATACATGCATTTTTCAAATAATTCTAGACTAGCTCCCTCGCTTAAACCGGACGCATCCCTCATTCCATCAGTTGTCATAATAGCCAGTCTATCTGTGTTATGGCAAATGAATGTGCCCAGGAATATGTAAGTTGATACAAAAAAAGTGATAACGTATCCTGAATCAACAAAAAATATGTTTGAGATATTTGCTAATTTGAACCTGTCTAAAAAGCGAAGCTCTCCGGCCAGTCATCACCCTGTAATATAATTATCCACGTTACCAGTATTCCAAGATACACACATTCTTTCACCAGAGACGATGTTATATAAAAGACGCGCGGAGAGAATAAAAATAAATCTGGTTGCACGGCCCAACTAATTTCTTTTTCTGCAAGATTTGGCTTCAGCATTACGGTAAAGGCGGTAAAATGAATATTTTTTTAACCGTATCGGTAGTATCGCTATTCACTGGAAGTATTTGAAGACTCAATTTTTGACAACTCTGAGTGAAACCAAATATACCACATTGGAGGGTACACAGCAAAACAAGTTGTTGAATATTACATCGAAACTGCTGCAATCAGGTCAATCCATCGGTTGTGTAATATCACATTGTACGATGTACATCGATTTTGCGAACAAAATTACATCCATTGATGTAATATTGTAGAGCTTTTTGCTATTACATCATTATTTCATACATCAGCTTGAATTACGTTGATCGATATTACATTTTTTTTTTGCTGTGTATATTCTACAGAGCTTTGCACAAAATTATTCAATCTGCAATTGTTGCTTCCTATCAAGTATGAGTGAAATCTCTTTTTAAGTCTTTCACAAATTTTACTACTTTGAAAAATTACACCGGAAAGCCTTGATCTTTGTTACAGAGCCTGTGTAAATGTATTTCGTTGTGCTGGAGCAAATATTAAGTGAGAACATGACGAAAATACAGCTGTTGAATAACAATAATATTAACTTTTCATACGCAAACGTAATTATAATTATTTAAATCTCAACAGTTAATTAGCGTCTGGCTGAAAATCTCCTTAATAAAAACAACCAACCTCAACAATTAAATCCAACACCAATCTCAATGCTTCCCACGCTTTTCTTCGTGAAGCGCTCGTGTTTATTTACATTGCTCGATTGGAACCACGTTTGACGGTTCGATTGGAACTTTTGGCTTCAGTCTTCGTGCGTCTCTTATTAACATCGTCTCTGTCTTTCACTACTTCAAGTTTATCACTATCTAACACCACTTCACTACCAACACTCTCAACTCAATAGCAATTCTTCGATGCAATCGATGTAAATATTTACATTATTTGACAAATCTCAGGTAATCATGACAGCAGTTAGTCTCTTTTCTTCATTCATATTGTTTTCAATAATCAAACGTCATGATTACCTGGGTTTTGTCAAAAAAGGTAAATATTTACGTAAGTTCAAAAGTGCATCGCCCTGCTTCAACCAAGGGATGCCAGATTTGAGACGCATCAAGCTAAACAATGCATTAGGTCAAAAACGGGGTCTCTGGTAGGATAACATTATTATTAAAAAAAAAATCAGTATCGCTGAAACATCCACCAAACGAAATCTTAGGTGACCCTCTTTCATTTGAGGCTAGTTTCAAAATGTTCTATCGGAGTTAATGTTTCCGTACATTTTTGGGGCTTCAATGGTCAAGAGAGTTGAACGTAATTTGCATTGAAAAATATGAAAAAAATAAAAATTGTTCTATACCATCTGATAGAACATTTCCATATTAAGCTCACATGGAAGGAGTGTCCCTAACATTGATCAATTCTCTTTCGTTATAACATGGTTCCTAAATCGTGTCTTATCATCTTTGCCGTGTTAGATGCTAGATAATAATTTCTTCCATCGAACTGTGTGTTGAAAATAGCTGAAAATGCGTTCACATGGCCGTGAGGATGTAAAGTGAAAGTCGACGAAGAGAATCTATCAATGTTACTTACGACCTAATGTATTGTTCAGCTTGATACGTCTTTCTTTTGAAGATGTTTGAAATTTTTTAAAGATATTTTTCCCATGCAGTTTTACTGAAGATATCTAATGTTTTGTGAATTTGTTTTTAAGACATGAGGTGCAAACCAACTAACTTGATTTCTTCTCTTTTTTCTTTAATTTCAGATCAGGATACAAACTTCTATCCGGAATTTTGTACATTGCCGCTGTAATTTGTATTATCTATTGCCAAATATCACTCTATAGGCTGAATTTTGTAATAGCATCAACTTTCGCTGTTATAACAATACATCAACTAGTTGGACTAAAATTTACCAATAAGTGAGCGATTACGTGCTGAGCAGCTCTTGTTAGTCAATATGTTCCTACTACCTACATCCGGATAGACTAGATTGCATTTGAAAACAAATTTCGCATTTTAATGGCAACCCACATTAATGTTCTCAAGCTGCATAACACTTTAAGGTTTATTTTTTAATTTTTTTAAGATTTCTGTTAATTACTGCGTACTAATCGCCTCCGTTGGCGAACTTTGGATTTTTCAGATATAATTTGATAGGCTAATAACCTCAAGTCCGTGCTCTGTCACAATATTTCATTGTGATTAATCAACACTCAATGGGTAAAGTATAAAATTTGAGGTGAATTTGAAAGAAAGGGAATGTAGAAGTGTAGAACGAACTGCCCACTGGATGTTTCTGAAGCCTGGCCAAGTGAGTGAGTTATGGGTTTATTTGGTTGGTTGGTTGTCTTTATTAAGGAGATTTTCAGCCAGACGCTGGTTCATCTCCGGGAACCCTTGAAGGGATTTCCCCAAATTACAGATTTGAAAATTGAAAGAAGTGTCCGGAGGGGGCACTTCTGAAAGATGGGGGAGGCTCCAGAGTAGAGTCCCTTTAGAATGGAATACTTATGTGATACAGATTGATATCTAAGGTACGGTTGTTGTTTTTTATGCTGACTCATTTTACGCCGGCGGAATGGGTTTATTTGAAAGTACGTCATTTCTTGAAAACAATAAATAAACATGGGTTTTTTTTTTTAAATTCTTTATTAAAGAGATTTTTAGCCTTAGGCTAGTTCATCTCTATAAAAAATAAACATGGGGAAATGGATGTAATGTCCCTAATTTGGGACCATACGTAAATTAATCAATCGACTAAATTTTCAATAGCGACCAAAAATATCCATTAGTACCGTCCCAATGACGCGTTCATGTAAATAAAATTGATAAATAGCAGATTTTTAGTGATGGGCAAGGGTTTTATATATTTTCAGGGTAGATAGGGCTCCTAAAGTTATGAAATAATCCCCATGAAACATAGGGTTGGAAATGACTGCTAAGTGAGTTATTCAACATTTTATGTTTTTTTTTGTAGTGCCAACTTTGGTTAGCTATATTTTTTTTAATCTTAATGTGGTTTTCTGATTTCAACATACCAAATGAAAGATTTAAGTCTTAGCTATCAATGCTCTTTGAAAAAGAACTCGATTAAAGTTAATTATCATACATTAAAATTGAAAAGTATGTTGAAAGTACCAAAAAAATTGGTGAAATTTCATACATGTGAGTGTTTTTAAGTTGAAAATTTTCATTACTGTTAATTTAGTTGTTTTACAAAACATTATCCATGCAGTTCCCTAGATTTGTGCCTTTGGTAGTAAATTTGTAGGCTTTATGGTTTATTCGTAATTATTGATTTAATACAGCCAAAAAAACTTGTGACGTTTTCTTAAAATGCGCTATAGTCACTATATGCGCTATAGTTACGCACATGAAAATTTGGTAAAATGTTATTGTAAATGTTGAACTACATTCTTAACTTTCGATAACCGCACATCTCCTGCGCCGAAAGAAAACATAACTGCGGAGATGTTTCGCGGTATCGAATATTGCTCAGTCTCAGCAGAACACACAGCGAGGGACACCGAATCAGCGAATTCTGTGACCGGAAGGGAGAGAAGTAGGTAGTGGTAATTGGCAAATCAAAGTTGGCACATGTGGAGAATAGAAGAACTATGAAAGTGATGATAGTTTTAAAAATTTTCACGTGGAGGTATACAAATGCAATCTTAAAATGCTTTTATTTTGCAAATGGAGCATTTTTTTAATTCTGGTTGCTGCTACAGTTGTAGAAAAGTTGAAATCTATGTCTGCACCTAAAAATCTGAAAAGAAATTATTTTTCTATATTATATGTCTATTAAGTAGTCCTTAAGTTTTCTACTAGCGCAGGAAATCAGTTTGGCACGGCATTTGTGACCAGCATACCTTCCGGTAGCATGAAACACGTCAAAATTTTCCCAAATCTGCCAAGAAATTTGTTTGTGTTGCATTTGCTTATAGCAAAATAGTGAACTTTTTGTGAACATTAACGCCAAAGAACTCACCACTACACTTTTTGTTACATGCCTCATGCATGCGATTTGGTGTACAGCACACTTCTTCCGATTTCTTGATCACCTTATAAAATAGGCGATGTCAGTTGAATATCGGGGATTGGAATTCAAATTATTCTTAAAAATATATTTATATATTTGTTTACTGGCTCAGATTACAGCTGGGAAGATAAAACTTTCATTTTGCAAATTGAAGCTGCTGTAATGTTTTATCTAATAATTTACCACTTCAATGAGGACTGCTACTGTCCTCTGTTTTATCACATTAAATAAATAATATTGCATACTTTATTTGTAATACAAGATTTGAGAGATTTTTTATCTTTAAAAATGTATGTTAATTGATAAGTAGTATTGGCAAAAAATACAATTTTAGAGCGAAATAAATAGGGGAAATGACGGCTTCGGCATGACAGACTATTTTCGGCAACCCAAATTGAAACACTATTTTCACTGGATTTTCTTACGAAAACACTTCGCTGAATGCATGCAAACGATTCTTTATGCTTTCAGCTTCAATTTGACTATATTTTTACCACTGAGAAAAAGCAATCTAGCAGGGTTTTCTTGAAATGAAACACACGCACTACAAATTGTAGCTGATTTTGAGTTGCCGATAATAGAACAGCAGATTTACATGCAGTTCAAATGGAACGGTTGCCGAAGAAAAACTGGTTGCCGACAATACTCGCTCTCACTAGAGAAGATTGGAGCTTTGTAAAAGCGTTTCAAAACAGTTTTTGACAATTCTTTTGACTGAAATTGGTAGAGCAGCTGGCAACAAAAGATTGTAAACAAACCAATACTGCATATGTGTGCGTTCCATAGAGAAAAAGGCTATAGAAAGAAGGTCGCTGCTTAGGTTGCCGAGAATACGTAAATTCCCCTATATCAAATAATTTCATTATTTTAAGACGAACTTTTCTTCTCTCCCCTTGGCTAGTTTTTGCACCTTGCTGTTGGTGGGTGGGCTTAATTTCATACTTTATAGTGGAGTGTTGGAGCCGGTAGGTTTATGTTCGGCGTTACTAGCTCATGCCGCGATAGAATGGCGTCATGGGCAGGCAATGGGGATTACTAAGCTTCTCCTCTCTGATAAACCACTGCATGAGAGAACCAAAGATCTAGTCTAGCAGTGATAGTATCACACTTGTTATTCCTTTAATTGAGAGCCGCGTCGTAGTACGCTTACGTATAGGCACTGACGTTGGGTGTGTTACTGGCGGGTTTTGCCGCAAATCACTCTTGTTTTTTTTACGCAGATAGATTTATTTGGGTTTGCAAGGCAATTATACTATTGAAATATTTCAGAAAGTGCCCAATGGTGCTCCTTCTATTTGCGTGACAATCTTTCATTGTTGTTTTCATTGAAGTATTACTCAGGAAACAATGTTTAACATAGTTGAAGATGCTAATTTCAAATAACAGACTGTAGTGGTAATTAAAGGTAAAGGTACAGTAGCAGCACCTACCCCACCCGTGTCCCCTCGAGATCGTCAAGTCGACGATGACAGGAGCACATATCGTGGTAGGGGTAAACAATAGTTGCAATTTCCAAACCTACGACTGGATACCTTCCTTCAAATAACAACTGAAGTGCGGTAAAAAATCGGTAGAACTGTTTCAAACACACAGTTGGTACTTGAGCGGGTTGGTTTTCATCTCTTTTTGCCAGTGGTGGCGGGGGGGACACCCCTCACCATCCCTCTCCAAAGGGGGAGTTTGGTAAAGAGAGATGAAAAAACCGATTTGTACCTTCCTTAAAAGCAGGGTTGCTTCCACTCACTTGCTATAAAAAAATATTTTCGGGAATTATTCAATCATTAGATGTTATAATGCTATGTTGCACTTGTAAGTATCAAGAAGAGGGTGTAAACTATGTATTTGACTCATGAAACCGGTCAATTTCGCTTTAAGAGCGCCACAATCAGCGATCTTATGATTCGTGAGCATTCACTCAGAGTGAGCGCTCACGAGTCGTAAAATCGCTGATTGTGGCGCACTGAAAGCAATATTGACAAATTTTATGTGTTAAACATATACTTCATGACCTCTTCTTGTAACTTACAAGTACTAATTAGCATTAAACTATTTCATGATTACATAATTCCAAAAAAACATTTTTTTATAGCAATTGAGTGGAAGTAACCCTGCTTAAAAGTTGTCCTAGCTCGCTATTCTAATATCTATTTGCAATCTTCACACTGCCGTACTCTAACGGAACTATCAACTCTATGCTTTCATCTACTCCATCTATCGTATAAAAGTTACCACTACAGTCTGTTATTTGAAATTAGCATCTTCAACTATGTAAATCGTTGACTTCACGTAGAAGTAATACTAAAACATATAGTCAAAGAATGTTTAACATAATTTTTGTACTAATCTTATATGTGCTTCATTTTGATTTGGGATAAGTGTTTGAACCATGGACCCAAAGGTCAGGACCAATAGCGTGGAAGGAATTTATCGAAAAATCATGGTTCTCGGTAATAGAATGGAAGTGCACGCATGCCGTCACCAGTGTTCGAAAAGTTCGCGATATTTCACGAAGTTCACCAAGGGAAAAGTTCGCGAGTCATAGGGAACTTTGATGAACTTTTCCATCACTGCTGCGGACAATTCTCTTCCTCCAAATAATCTTCGTGCGGACAATCCTCTTTCGAACAACCCCTCTGCGGACAACCCTCTTTCGAACAATCTTCCTGTGGACAATCCTCCTCCAAACAATCTTCCTGTCGACAATCTTCCTGCGGACAATTCTCCTGCGGGCAATCCTTCTTCGAACAATCCTCTTTTGAACAATCCTCCCGCGGACAATCCTCTTCCTCCGGATAATCTTTCTCCTCGACTCGTCGGTAGCGGACAATATTCCTGCGGACAATCCTGCTGATAATCCTCCTTCGAACAATCCTCCTCCGAACAATCTTCCTGCGGACAATTCTTCTTCGTACAATCTTCTCCCGAACAATCTTCTTGCGGACAATCCTCCTCCGAACAATCCTTCGAACAACCTTCTCCCGAGCAAACTTCCTGTGGACAATCCTCGTTTGAACAATCTTCCTGCGGACAATCCTTATTCGAACAATCTTCCTGGGTACAATCGTTCTTCGAACAATCCTCCTGCGGACAATCCAAATATATGATGTTCAAGGGCCCTGGAGCTAATGAACTATTAGATTAGATAATTAACTATTTTAACTAGTTCCGCTTTTTTTTTGATAGCATCCATGCCTCTCACGCCAAAGTCACGAGTTCAAATCTAAAAATGGCGAAACAAAAAGAAACGTGCTAAGGGATATGACACACCTCAAACTGACTGCCACGACAGCGGGTACCGCGCTTTTTTTTTTTGCTGGCAGTTGTGCTGTCTGTGTCACTTTTGACACCTGTTCTGGTACAAATTACTGTCTTTTGCTCTAGTACCGGGTGCACCAGGTACACTAAAAAAACAGCTAGGTGAACCAAAAAAAAATCGCGTGAAGGAGGTCCTTACCCTTTGGGTCCATGGTTTGAACTATGGCTCGGGATTTCCACTGTGGTGTGCTTCTATTGTGACATACCCATATGTATTTTTGTGGTGCCACATAGTGGAAACGTGAGAGCGTAGTTAGAACATTTATCCTATACAATATACAATTTAAAATTAGCTTGGAAACTAACTTCAAAGTGAAGCATTTTAGTAACTTGAAGGTGTCACCTGGGACGAACAAAGATATAATTAATATATGTCAAAGCCAGAAGTACTTGAAACACGTTAAATTTTAGTTTAAAAGCATGGGTTATGATTGTGTAGGTTGATTAGAGATTTCAGTTATTTATGAAATAAACTTCAATTAGAGAATTCAGAAAGTTAATTAACATAAGAGATAGGACGCAGGGGGTCCGCTTGGGGAGGCGACTAGCCTATTAAGTTGTATAATAAATCTTCCTATTTAGTGTATTTGTTAATTACAGACAATGTCAATAGCGAAAGTCATATCTTCAACCAGTGAAGTTTTAGGAAAGATGTGTTAAATATGTTGATAGGTTTGAAATAAGAATTAGGATTGTTGTGCTTTAGTTTTCGGTAAGGTATGATGTGTCAACAAAACCCTTTTGAGCAAATTTTCAAACATCAAATTGATTGAGTGATTTATTGAAAGACATTGCGTTGCGAAAATTGACAAGTCATACATCTAACATAGTAGTAGTAGCAGTGTCGCATAATCTTATCAAAATTGCTTCAAATAGTGCTGGAGGGGCAGGGCTGAATACGGATCAAAACTAACATAACTACTAACACTAAAATGATCTTTCTATTGTTTGGATCAAGTACAACTAATACTAATCTACTTTTATGTATGTTTTACTCCGTTTTAACCCATTATCTTTATGAATAGCGAATCATATGACGTGAGACACGTACAGGGTGCGTGACGAACTTTTGCAGTAAATGACATATTTGAGAAAAATTACACCAGTTAGCTATTCTAGCAATGAATGTTATGTGATTTATTTTCTTTCGCAAAATATGGAAGTTGTAACTAATTTTATTGAAAAAATCGCCTTCCCTTTCGACGACTGTAGCTAGACGCTTCCGGAAACTGCCATATGCACGTTTGACAATGTTTTAATCCATAGATGTCATCAATACCTTGATTTTAGCTTTTAGGGACTTAAGTGTGGTGTTAGGGGTTCTATTGGTATTCCGTTCGACGATGCCCCGTACAAAATAATCCAACGGATTGATATTGGGACTGCTTGGGGGCCAAATTTCTTTCTCCCAAAATTCCGAAATATTTTCCGCAAGCCATTTCTGTGTTTTATTAGCAGTATGAGCAGGTTCTCCATTTTATCACTTTCCCAGGCCTTTTTATATTATACACTGTTCTTTCAGACACATTTATCCACCGAATTATTTCTATTACGCTTACTCCGGCGCGCAACAAAGCGACAGCGGCTGACCGATTGCTCTTTTGTTTCGACATCTTTACGTTTACTCAACACTGTTTGTTTACATCTTACACCTAACAGTATGAGCAATTCAGTGCTACCAAATATATCTAAATCATGATCCGCAAGCATGAGAAATTACTATTTGAAATTTACTGCAAAAATTCGTCACGCACCCTGTATAAGCTGGAACTCAAAGAATTACTTCGAACAGGATATCAAACAAATTCAGGACCAATCCAAATGAGACCAGAAACCAACAAGGCATCGGGGCGTTATATACTCGGAGAGGTATTTGATAAATAATCAAAAAGTGGTAAGTTAAAATCATAGTGGAGCCAATGATCATGAGAGGTAATTGTCAATAATTCATTAATTAGTAGAAATCTCGATAACTTTTTCAAGGGAGCGTATCGGGTTTTGTAGGCGGTGCGTTTGGTCGTCGATTTGGCGTAACTGGTGGCTCGCCCGCGCGTGCTGGCGCTATCATCAGATAGGGGAAAATTTTCTCTACCTACTGGTGGTGTTGATAAGCGTGTGCGAGCTGCCGGTTGCGCCGGATCGGCGATTGGATGCATTGTTTGTAGGAGCTGGTGCTTCCCTTTGAAAAAGTAATCGAGAAATAACCATATTATCCTGTAATTAATATTATTTTTATATATCAATGAAATTAGTCATGACAGAG